GACCCTATAATTATATGACAGACAGACAGACAGATAAAAGTTTATTCGTAGTTTCGTCACTTCCTGATGGGGAAGGTACATGAATGTTATTGTCTGGTAGTACGAACAATTGTCAGGTAGGGTTAGACTTGCACAAGTCTCGAAGGCACTAAATATCAGAGAAATCCTTATTTCTAGATTAAAAATATAATAAGAAAAAGTTGGCGTCCTTAGACTGTAGTGTCCGCTCATCTAGACTTGCCTATTATAAAGATAGAATTTCTATACATCCATGGACTTATCTTTCAGAACCCACCCATAACAATGTCTGACTGATGATGATGTCAATATGATGAAATGTACATTGTTGACTGATTGGAGACAGCATATGAAATTAAACATGAAAAGATTTATATTTAACAAGTACATTCTATACAATGTGCACGTCTAAAGTCACTGGACTCTGGCTAAACAACATGCAACTGATGCAATGAGTTTCAGAAGTAATCTGCGGACTTTGGACAGTTTCCAAACATGAAAGATACTCTGCTGTCAGTGAGACATTGGTGTAATTCAGAAAAGAATGCCCTTGGGTGAGTGAGCGAGGAGGATTTAGGTGGCATTTAGCGATATTCCAGCAGGGAACACCAGGAATGGGCATCACATATTGCACCAATAAAGAGAACTAACCTTCGGCATGACAAACGAACGCTTCAACCACTTGGCTACTCCACCCCCGAAACTCATTAAAATCTTGGTTCTCGCTACCGCTTAACGTTTTGGTGTAATTGTCGTTGTTGATGTAGATATAGCTATTGAGGTACATGATGATGTGCTGGTGTCCAGGATGTAAGTGTCGGTGTCTGTATCTGTATTGCCTTGATTCCATAGGATTGACAACATGTTTCCTAGGGGAAAACTTTCACAACTCACTGTAAGGTTGTAAGTGATCATTCAAGAATGGGTATATGAATTCACAACTTGCCATCTTGGAGAAGGGACAAAGACACGCAACTGATAGTCATCAAGCTGGTCACCTATGAAGATCCATGTAGAGAATAGGTCTTCAGGAACCCCATCTTCCTGAGGCAAGAGAGTTAACTGACTTTAAAAAGTCCAGTTTCCACCAAACTAGGCTGGTATTATGGAGTTACATTTTGGCTGGACTAACGAGTCTATGCATAGTTCAATCAAAATCGCGCACTGAAATCGAAATCCGGTCCGTAAACTGTCGTGCAGATTTCGGTCGATTGCAAGATTTGCAAGGCATCCGCATCGCCAACTCGTTGTCAGCAGATGCTTTCCAAATCTTTTCATGTTTTTAATCAAGGTGCTCACATGATTTGATGCATTTCGCCATGTAAGACCCCTTTTATCACAATATAGATCTTGATCATTGATCAGATCGTCCTGACTGGGCGCCACCATTTTGTGTGAAACAAACGCAAGTGATACGAGAGGTGGAATCTGATTGGTCCATAGGAGAGGCTTAGAAGGAACATAACTGTTAATAGCCACTGGTGGCGCTATGATCGAGCCCAGTAATTCCAGCCTAGTTTGGCAAGGGTGGAAACTGGACTTTTATCCTCGGGAAGATGCAGGAACCCATGCTTGTCGTAAGAGGCTACTACTGGGACCGGGTGGTCTGTCAGGCTCACTGATTTGCGAAAGGTCATTCTGACTTGACACGTAAGGGGATGTCCTTAGAACTTTGATTAGTGGTAGTGACAACTAAGACCTGATTTTTATGACATTTCCCAAAAGAAACCTTTCAAATATTATTGATGAATTTTGTGAACATTCAATGTTTGTCATGCCATAGAACAGTTTAAATGCGGCAGATGTTTTAAAAACATAAAATATTTCCCTGAATTACAACATATTTTATGAGACTTACAAATAATATGTTTTGACATATCTCAAACTTATATTACTATCTTTTAGGGTGTAACACATTCTTCAAAAACTGAAAAAATACTCTTTGTCAACTGACACCAATCATTATCCATGGAAGAAATTTATTAATCGTCTTCATCTTAAGAATAGACTGACAATAAGCATGACGGGTCTGATTGAAAAGAATGATATACTGTACATCATACAAATATTACATATACATATATATTATTTTTGTCAAATTTTCTTGGATGTCATGAACAAATCTTGCATTTTTTAATTCAAATGGCATGAAAGCGGACCTTTGCAGTCACAGGATTGATCATATGGTAATACAAATTAAATTCATTTATTATGAAGAAAGCTGTTCTATGATGACATAACATGCTCTCTGAAACACTCGATGTCTACACAAGCCTCTATCTGTAGATATCACAGTGCAGCCCTCGGTTTGTAAAATCCAAATATGAAACTGAAAATATAGGCACTGAGTGGCCTTTTACGTACATAATGACAGAAAAGTATGATACATTCTTCAGCAAATAAGAAAAAGATATCAGACGCACGAATCTATTTGAATTGTACACAAAGACAGCGCTTTCAAAGACATCAATATTGGGTCTGGTTCTGGCTAGTGCCAAGGCCAAGGTGTCCATAAGTAATTATGATAATTTATGAAAACTCCAAATTTTCCAGCTGTCACTCTAAAATATCAGTATGTGGCTTTACAGCATGTCAAACCACAACAATCTCCGTTAATAGAACGACAATGAACAGGTAGGAAAGCATGCGAGATGCTGCTGACGACATCTACAGTGATTTTGACAGCGTCATGTGACTGACTGCCTATCTGTATCATTGTTTGAACGTGAATAATTTCCTGTTCACAGGATAGAGATCTATCGTAAGAACATTCTATGAACACAAAATCGCCGTAAGATAGTCTGCGTAAGTCCTCTCACCTTGAAATGCCAAAGATGATCCTATAATGCCATAATTTAGTTACGATCACAATATTTCGTCTGCAAATGTCAAGAGCAGGTTATTTTCAGCCATTTCTGCGGAACTGCGGTGTTATTGGTTGACGGGCACCTGCTATACTGATGGACATACAACTACTTACAGTTGTAAAAAATATAATACTACGAAAATATACTGTCTAAAGTTAGTTGTTATCGAGTTTTATTTTAGACAACAGTGTGAAGCCCTTTATATATGTAGAAATGGTAGCACAGATTTGGTAAAAGACACCTCGTCAAAACCACCAAATGTTTGCCTCTCACCTAATATATAGCGTCAAGAGGCGCTATTGGTGGATATTACGCGTTTTCATTCGACGGGTGTCCGTGACGTCATGAAAATTATAAATTTTGCGCGGCACCGTTTTCGTGTCATTCGAGAGGTCGCGGGCGGTAGAGACGGAAGTATCTACCAAACGCTAACCCTGACTTTCCACATATCTCCTTCATGAATTGCTTGTCTTTTTGGTGGGGTTTCAGGCAATAGAGGAGAGTTTAAATAACAAAAGAACCCTACTCTGAGCGGTCTCTCGAATGATAAGCGTGCGTACAACATTCGTTAGAATACAAACTATTTTCACTTGGCCACATTTGGTCGCCCCCGGTCCGGCCATCATCTCCTCGTCGGGTTGTTCCTGCTGAGTTCGTCCCAGCGGTGGCTCGTGGGGAGGTGATAATGTATTGAAAGTAGGTTGTGTCCTATGTTCAGATTAAACTGCCAGCATATACGCCGTCACATTAGGTGTTGTGGTCGACAAAAACGTTGGCAAACAATTCTTCGGTTTTTCTTTACAAGCAGACCGCTATTCCATTGAACTGCAATACGCATTTGTAATTTGTTCTTTTGGGAAACGACAGCTTTCCTATAATATAAGATCGGGTATTGTGGGTATTTGAAGACCCCGAGCTGTTTGATGTGTGTGCAGTTCTGTGCACACTTTCCATACTGTGCATGTGTCATTTCATGACCAACCCACTGCCGAAACCGATGTTTGGAATATTTTTTACAAAGGATTTCTAAAAGCTGATTGACATCTGGTCGTAAAATAACATAATCTTTGTTTAATAAGAGCAACCCCAAATGAAATAAACCACCTTTTGCAGTACATTTTGTATATTATAAACAAAATATTTTCAAAATATGTATGCCCATGCTTGCCGTAAAAGGCGACTCACAGGATCGGGTGGTCAGGCTCACTGACTTGGTTGATGCATGTCATCGATCCCAATTCCATAGATCAATGCTCATGTTGTCAATCACTGGATTGTCTGGTCCAGACTCGATTACTTACAGACTGCCGTCATATGCCTGGAATATTGCTGAGTGCGGTGTTAAACAACAAACCAACCAACCAACCAAAATATGTATGGGACAAGTCTTTGAATGGCATTTAGATGTGATACACATAAGGAAGAGAATTTATGGATGTCATCTTTTTTATGAGGAAACACAACGTTTCAGAGTATGTGCTTACTCCATTACCTGAAACATAAATTCTCTTCCTTATGTATGGACAAGTGATAATTGGTTGCATATTGTTACCACATAAAGACCTTATGATGTTTTCACATATTCTAAGATGGGTAAATGGTTTTGGCTTACAGTCTCGAATGAATGCACAGGGTTGAAACAGATTCCTCACAGACTGCAGTACAAGTAATCGGGTGGTTACACTTTGACCTGGCTGATTGCAGATGCTCATATTTAACTACGAGTTAAACCACTGTCTGGCCCATGGTTTATTATTTATCAACAGCTGTGATATAGCTGGAATATTGCCGATTACAGCAACAAACAGTATCAACACATTTGAATGCACAATGCCACTTGCAATTTATTTCACGAAACCTTTAAGAAGGCTGTTGCTCCACACGTTTACTTTTGCAATAACTTGAAACAAGTTCTCTGCATATATTCTCAGCCGTTTAGAATAGTTCAAATGGCTCAATTCACGTAGTCACGTCAACGAACATTCATTATTTCACCGTGTTATGATGGACATTAAGCAGTCATTTCTGTCAGTGTGCTTTAGCCTGTTCCAGAATCAACAGCTTAAGACTGGCACTCCCCATCACTCACCAAATAACATTTAAGAACTAGACAAACACAGACAGAATTTGTTTTTATTTCTTATAAAACCAACAATAATATCTCAAATGAAAACAACTGTGGCTACTCAACAATGTGCTGCAAGTTTTTTTCTTACTTGTACAACCTAATCAAACTAAAAGCGGTTTCATATCAACAAATATTAACAAGAAGTAAAAGTTTACAATCAATAATAAAATCACATGGTTTAACACATCACTGATTTTGGAACAATCAACAAAACAACACACAAAATGTATTCATAACTTACAAGAACTGTTCTAAAATAAATAAATCTTTTGTTTATGCACTCTTGACACTAATTGACCACATACCACATACATTTCAGCCAGCCAAAAGTCATTTTGTAATATGGAAAACAAATTGTGAATTGATTTCTCATAAATTGTTTCAGTGAGTTATGACATATCTCAACTCACACTTCGTACATCAAAGTTCAAGGTATCATCTCACACACTCAGCTACCCAAAACTAGTGTGCTGTTATGATCCAGTCTTATGGTTTCAGAAAACTAGTGAGCACTAATATACTCTCTGAGCAAAGTTTTGAGCAATTTTAGGATTTACATGTTTAATTAAATTACAGTTTAACATGAACATTACGACAATTAATAAGATGTTCGCAAAGGGCAATCTTAAATATATCTTTGCTAAAAACAAAAACACACAACTTTCGAGTGATTACTGATAAGTCGGTACAAACACAAGCCCTTTAGAAGAAAAAGAAATCAATTCAAGTATACATGTAAATGTTTTCTAAATTGTAAATTGTCTTCAACAATAAATAGTTCAAGAACTGACCTACTCTTGAAACCCCTCAAATATATACTACTCAAAAGAAGTTAAGGATCACCCGATTCTTTCATATTGGTAAAGTTAATCTGTCATGGCATGAGAGATTAACTATTGTAATATGAAAGAATCAGGTGATCAGGTTCTTTTGAGTAGTATATGTTTGTTGCCAATGAAGGTACCCAACTTTGTATTGGGTAACTTGTGTTTGTGAAAGCACTAATTAATGTTTAATTAAGTTAACATAAACAATGTAAAAAGGGGAGCCCTCTGTTACAATCCTACTCTTCGAAATCTAGAGGATCTGAGTCCTCTTCTTGTGCGACCACTGCAGATTTGTGAATGGGTGTGTGCTGCACATCAAGCATAAAGTCATCATCACTATCAACCTTGTCAACACTGGGTTTGACAGGAATGTCCAAATCTAAATCCATTTCATCATCACTTTCATAATGATCATACTTTTCCGTTTCTTTATTTAAAACTTGCTGTTTCTGGCTACTTTGACTGGATGGTTTGAACGATTTATTTTCACAGCTCACATCTTTCATGCATTTGTTATCTTGTGTCTTCTCTTCTTTATCTCCAGATCTTTTGTCAGAACTTGAATTCTTACAAACTTTTTCTTTTGCAGCATGTAATGGATTCATAAATTTAGATTTCTTTTTCTTGGTTTTCTTGTCTTCTCCACTTTTGGACTTCATTTCCATATTTTGCCTTTGTTTATTTTCAGTGTTGATTTCAGGTACATTGCCCGCCTGTTTATCGTTGGACACCTTCATCATTTTCTTCACTTTATTATTGCCACCCATCCCAGTATCCAAACTTTTTATTTTCCCATCATCTTCTCCACTACTATTCACTGACTTGTCAGTTTTCATTCCTTTTACTTTGTGCAGTGTTTCCCCTTCAACATCATTGTCTTCCCCAAGCTTGCTGATATTAGATTCTCCTGCAGTCTCCCCTATCTTTTTTTCTAGGACCTTTTGTGTCTTGTTTTTACTCTTTTCCAGATTTACTTCTGGATACTCATTAGCTGTATCACCACCCTTGTTTTTCTTCTTCCTCTTCTTTTTGGTAATTTCTTCCTTCACACAGACATCATTTTCTTTACAAGCTTTTTTAGTTTGTTTGTTAGGCTTGTTTTGTTTTTTGTCCCTCTCCTTTTCAGATTCAGCTTTTTTCTTCTTTTGAGTTGTCTTCTCCATACCTGCTGAAGTTTTGTCGGGCACTTCTGGAGCCTCTGTTTCATCTACATTTCCATTGGTAACAGAGTCGGGTACAGCCACATTGGCATCAGTACTGCAGCAGTCATCCCCTAGAACCTCTGTATTCTGCTGGTCTTGTGATTCGAGTTGCACAGAACCTAACTCCATTGTAAATATATCCATGTCAAGTTTGGTAACTTCAAACTTGGCAGCTTCCTTCATACTCTCTGAATCTCCACATTTGACATCAGAAACTACAACAATAGAAACAGAATACATCATATATATAGTTTCACTAAATACTGATGGAATAAGAATTGTCAAATAAAGCAAAGGCACAAATATATTCATTAATTACTTAAACTGAAAAAAGAAAAGGAAATCATCACATGCTCGACTTGCTGGAGCGAATGACTTCACAGCAATATTTCAGCCACATTGACAGGACAGATTGATTGATTGTACTGGAAATCATATATCACTCAGCTATTGATAGAAATAATGAAATATTGTCATTCTATTTAAATATTCATGTGACATTATGAGAATGAGTTTTGTAAATCATGGAAAGATAAAAATATACCAATGTAAGGAGGAGTATATTTTGTCAAGACAAGCAAATGGTATTACCTATCTATTATCACTTAAGGAATCACAGTTGTCTCAGTCACCCTAATTTGTTGTTAAGAGTTGCATCCCTTGGCTGTACCAGGATCCTATTTGCATGTGATTCACTTTAGGTTCAAAGTTGGTTCAATAAAACTGTTAAGACAGCTGAAAGTCACCAAAAATTATTATTTACTAAAAAACTACAATATGATCAGTAATTTGCCAATGTTTTTTAAGAAAAGGTGAAAGTAAAGATGTCCTTGTCATCACCCAAATGATAAAATGATTTGATGGGTCCTTTCATGGTAATTTGAGGCCAAAAATCCTTGTACACTCCCTTCCTCTTATTTCTTACAATTCAAATGTTTGTAAAAAAACCGAGATGAAACAGGTTTTGAGACACACAAAATATAACTTTCAGTCGAAAATATTGATAAAGCCCTTGGATAGTGTTTTACATGAAAGTATTTTCTTGTTCAGCTGATGCAGCAGCAACAATAGTTGTTGCCAAATTTGTTTATTTCAGGCTCATTGGAAATGCTAACAGTGTCACAGCCAGCAAACATTGCTTCAAAGCAGACAGCTGAATACAAGCACACCAAGCCCCACACATGGCATTGTAGTGGAAGGGAGGTAACTCCAACATGCCAAGGATCAAATCTTGACACATCACAATATTTAATCCAGGCAACCAATGTAAAATGGACCATTCAGAAACTGTTAGCCTGAATTTAAGATATCAGATTTTAAATATTGACACTTGGCTTACCTTGAAGATCTCTATATTCTTCTTCAATCTTTATTTCCTTAACAGTTTTTTTTGGCTTTGAAACCAGAAAATCGGAATCTGAAACATAATTTCAAACTCAAAACAAAACAGATATCACATTTTTACCTCTAGACTGAAAATTATACTATACATAAACTATAAAATGCATTTTATACACAAGATTGATATAAGCATATACTTATCAGGATTTACATGAATGTTAAATCTCAGTTTCACACTCTGCCTCTTGGTCAGTTAAGGGATTTCCTTTATTCCTAGTCAAGTTATGTTGTATATCATTCAAAACAAACAATCAATTTCATTACAATTAATGAGAATTTACTTTCAAGAATCCAAATTAATCACAAAAATTAGTTACAGGAAAATATTAACCTGCATTATTATTGAAGTCATCATTTTCCATGGAGTCCAACATTCCAGCAACATCAGACAGCACAGACTGTGAATTGTTCAGTATTTGATTCAAAGTTTCATCATCAACAAGATTGTCTTCCTGATCAATCTTTCTCTTTTTTGAACATCTTGATACCTTCGACTTACTCCTTTCTTCCTTTGTGTTGTCTGTGATGAAAGAAGTTCTTTGTGAAAACATTCTTTATGTATTTGTATGTCTATATTTCATGGTTTTTGTATTAAAAAGATTTTAATCTTCCTTTGTTGTCATAATCATTGTTTAAAGAAAACAGGTAATTGGTCATGTTGGCTTCCAAGTTCAATCCAGTCTCCTAAGCTTAACAACAAGAATCCACTGTCCCCGTGACAGCTAGTAACCATGATAACCTGTCAGACACTTGCTCTCCATTAGTAATGCTTACTGTAAGAAAATAGATATTTTCAGGCAAGGGCTTGTGCAGGCTGATGAACTACCCTTGTATTTAGAATAGAAATTTTAAATATACCAGTAATACAGGAAAATATGCTTGCTGCAGGGTATTTTCCCTGTAATGAAACAAATATATATTTTGCAGCCTTACCCTGGTCAGTATTGCTTTGAAAATAACCCCATTTTCCAGAAAAACGTGAGGAAAAGCTGTACTTCTTCAACCTATCCTAAAAAGAAAAATAAGGCTGCAATAATAAATTAAGTAAAAATATAACATCAAACTGATATTAAATACAGTGACAGTCCTATAATCAATATATCTCACTGATGTATTTCTATCACCAGGGATCAAGGCCATCACAGGGCTGCAGAATATACTACTCAAAGTTGGCCAGGGATCAAGTTTTGATGACAAAAAAAATCATGGAACAAATAAAGATTGAAATTTCCAGAACTGGACTGAGCTCCAGTACTTTCTACTGATGAAACGAGATATTGTCTCGACTTCACAGATCGTTGTGCGCAAGTTAGGCATAGACAAGGAGAAAGATTTCAGGATTTCAGCATAGCCGTACATGACCACCATGAAGGATGCTCAGTCATGATTGAGGGTGGGATCAGTGGGGCTAGGAGAATTGATCTGCATATCCTGCAGCAGGGCATGATGACAGGTGTGTGCACAACATGGATGACATTCTGGATGTGTACGTCAGACTGTGCTGGTGCAATCGGACAGAACGAGCTGCAGATCACCCTCCCACAACGGTCTGTCCTACTGGCAACTCAAATCATCAAAACTCTTACTGAAGAGTGGAACAATCTTCCCTTGGCAACCATTCAGACACTTATTGGGATCATGAGATGATGATGCCAGGCTGGGATCGCATCATGAGAATCATATACACGCCACTAAGAGGGATTTGTTTTTGTACAATGAATTTTTGTGTGTGATATTTTTATGTTTCAGTTTTGGTCAGATACTCTCATTTTGTCGGGTGATCTGATTGATCATGCTGATTATTGGTCACATGTTGTTTGGCATCGTGTGGCATATGACAATCATTAAACATATCTTCATGAAACATTGTCTTTGGCTATTTCAACAGATGCTCACAATTGTAAATATTATCTTCTAAAGTTGTGATCCTTAGCAAACTTTGAATAGTACATTACATGAACACAGACACACATGAAATGCCAAAAAGATCAGCCACTTCAGATTCTTTTAGTTATCAAAGGGTCTCCTGGTGGTGAGGTTGAAAGGTATGATGTATGTATACTGCATCTGCATGGTCATTAGTTGAAGCAAACAAAATTGACCTCATATCATTAACGTTCAGATCCGGTATTGCCCTCATAACTCGACAAAATTTTATCTTATCCGCTGACTGCCTCACTTGAAAATCTCAATCAAGGTTAAGCAGCACTTTTTACATTTCAATTTACATTTTCAACCAACAGGGTCGAAAAGCCACAATCCGAAATTGGGAAGAATAGTTTATTTTTTCGACCTCTCCATCTTAAAACAAAAATATTAAGAGATACAAGGTTGAAAATGAAACACTTAAAACAATTAAAAAATGATCAAATGCATCAAAATGTGAGGCGTGAACATTTGAAATATATGTCAGCAGACTAGATTTATTATTATTCTCTCAGGAGGAAGAGCTGCCTTTTCGAACCCACCCAGAACTTTTCGGAGAAAGTGAAGACTCCCCAACACTGCAGCCTTCTGCATTACCCAGATTGTCAGAAGGGCTGTATACTACTACTACTACACTGCAGCCTTCTGCATTACCCAGATTGTCAGAAGGGCTTTATTATACTACTACTACTACTACTACTACTACTACTACTACTACTACTACTAGATTTATTCATCAAGATTGTTTTTGTTTAGCTTGTGCCAACAAATCAAGCAGCATGCAAAATTAATTCATATACCTTAACTATTTCCCATTATTGCAGGAACATGCACACACAATTTAGGCTCCATAGGTTGAGTATTTTCAATAAGTGTGTGGAAAATATTTTGTTGTTATATTTATCATCTTAATGCAAAAGAATCAAAAGGTCGATCCGAACCATGTGAACAACTCAGGACAGACCATAAGAACTTGAACTTCAGGCTTGGTGACATGGCAATCAACAATGTCCCTTATAATGTACAGACCACTTGATCTTGTAATCTCTTTCTAACTGTACTACCGTATTCAACGTAATAAGCGCCCAGGGCACTCTCAAAATTAGAAATAGGGGGCTCTTATTAGAATATTATTTTGGTGGAAAAAAACAGAGTTGAAAGATAAATTTCGTGGTTTATGCTGACAGCCTGGATTTAATTGCCCATAATTAAGGGTGCATATAACACACGAGTGCGTATTATACACAAATAGATAAGTCTTGTGTACATTGATCAATCGGAAGGGATGCTAATGGGGATTGTTCACTTGCCAATATATTAGCAAATATCGCCGTGGGCGCTTATTAGAGCGGGGCGCTTATTACGTTGAATATGGTATTTGTCTTACAGTTGCATGTATACATTGACTCTGAAATGAAAGCTTCCAGGCTTATCAAAAAACTATTACTAAACTGATTCAGCAACAATATTTTTTGAAACTTTCCTTATACTTCAAGAGTTCTCACTTGTCATAACTTTCAATCATATTTAGCTGTTTCTCATTTCCAGCATATCACTGGTCAGAAAACTTTGAGCTCATCTTATGCAAATAACCAACCTTTAGTGTATGTTCTAAAGCTGCATTCGCATTCTCTATTGCAATCTTAACTTCCCTGGTGTAGTCATGACCCTTGCATTTTCTCTGAAATGGAAATAACCTAGTTTCATTAACAGCATTTCTACTTCAAGACAAACATCTTGCATATCCCTGACCTGCTGGAACTCCCTTTAAAACATGATAATTTTATGTATTTGCATCACATTTAGAATGTGTCTCCATGCTGGTCGAAATTGGCAACTTAGTACAGTGCTGGTAAGTCCCCTTTATTTAGTACAGTTTGTTCTGTTACTCTCACACAGAGAATATTTGTGTAACGTGACCATACCAGGTGCCATAGCCTACTAACGCCGTCGTCGTCTGATATTGTAATGTAGAGCTGTCACATCAGGTATTCGTCTGATATTGTAATTTAGAGAAGTCACACCAGGTGTTTGTCTGATAATATTTAAAAACACTATTCATCTAGTCCCTGCAAACTGGTGTCGTGTGGGTTCGAGAGCTTTATAGGACTCAAAAATACCACAATGCTTCCACAAGAAAGTGTGATGGCAAATGATCATGATGTAACTGTCATCAAGGAGTTTGGCAAGGTTGACAGAATGCCCGTTTATAATTTCAAAATAGTTTGCTGATTTGCTAATCGAATAACCAGGGTTACTTCACAATATTTTGATGATACGCACAAGTTTTATTTGTGTAGCGTATCTGTAATGTTTGTTGCATATTTGATACGCTTGGATTTTATTTTACTGCGTATTTCTGCATTTCTGATGCGTATTTTACGCAGATATGCAGCTTATCTGGAGCTCTGCAGTGACTTGGTTAAAGGCATTTCATTGTATCCCGATGGCATGGATTGTTGCTCACAATATCAATCACTGGATTGTCATATAGCTGGAATATTGCCAAGTGCTGCTTGAAACAACATACACTCACACATGCACACACTTACAGGTAAACTGTCAATTTCTGAATATGGCTTTATGGAAGAAATGTTGATCCAGGCTCTGGACACTTTCTTGTCAAAGAAAACCACATGGTATTTGGTCTGAAAAAAATAAACCAAGAATTCAGCAACTCAACTCATTTATTCTGTAAAGGAAATGCCAATGGTGGGACATGAGATACAAAATATACATTTTTCAATTTGTACAAAATGTTAGCAACTTAATAACAGTCACACAAATGTGATAAATTGGCATTACTTGTGAAAGCATAGTGATATACAACTCGAGACAAGCTATCAATGTTCCACATTAACAATTTTTTATGTGAACTACATTCAAAATTACAATTTATTATCAATTCATAAGAAATCTGTTCCTTTGACATCCTCAGTTATCTTTGCTTGCACTGCAAGGCATGATTATATTAACCATCCAGAAAGTGACAATTAATTTCTCAGACTACTTGAGCTATTGAAAACTGAACTTACAGGGCACATGCTGGTTGGCTCATCAACTTCATAAAATGTGCCATAATCGGGGTCTATCTCTATCATGGCAGGCCACCTGGAAAGTATTCACAACCACATTTTAATAGAGCAATCTGTACCTCAACCACAAGTCATATTCCTGTGTATAGTAAAACCTTAGTTCAGGCAAGTGAACAGCTCAAACAGTCCATATATTAGCATAGAATCGATAAGATAATCTTTCCTTCTCCAGTTCAATGGCTGACACTTTGTCTTCCACTTCAAGAAGTTGGTGTAAATGTAAACGAATGAAATACTGCTGTAAAATAGAAATGGTGATCAAAAGCTACTTTTGGGTAAGTCTTTGGCAGGAGTGTTTCTGGTGGGTTTCTTATCAAGAAAATAAAGGACATACAGTAAACTACATTTGTAAGGAACACGCTTTTGGTCCCGGGCATTTGCTGTATATTTTATCATATAAAATTTATGGCTATAACAAACACGCTTCCAACGAAATAGCGGACATAGCTTACTCTGTTTGTGGTCCCGTGTGTACTTCATAAATGATAATGTTTATAACAAATTGTTAATCTCTGCGCTAATCATGTGTCACAAATCAGCATGTGAAAACATGCGCCACTGTTCAAAGCAGCAATAAAAAAATTGAAGGCAAGTGATCAACTGGATTAAGTACTGGCACTTGACACCCTCAATTAACAAAAGTCAAACACTGATCAGGCTGGAGTCTTTGAAAAGGATGTACTCTATCTAAAAGATAAAGGACTAGAGTGGGAAAATTCAGAATTGATAAGTTACGATGGCAGACACATTGCAAGCAGAAGCTTCAGACATTGAAGTTACAGGCAGAAGAGGAGTGGCATTGACATGATGTGGTCACGTGACTTGATCCAAGATGTCTGACAGTCAAAATGCTGTAATATAACTAAAATTAAAGGATCCTTTGAGTTTGTAATAACTAGTTTACTGCAACTAAATTTTGCTGGGCAGTTTCATTTCAACCTTTCAATCTTTTATCAGACAGAGTACTGTTTTACCACACCCACAAACACACACACCCCCACCCATCGTTTCACACACCATGGATATCCATCCATCTTAGCCAGAACAACAGACCCCTCTGTGTACTTGGTGAAAATGTGTTCTGATTCATCATACATTTCCTCTGGCTTTTCACAGTTGTTAAAAGCTTCCACTGAAAAAGCAAAATACATGGTTTAAATACTACTTGTGCTTTAAATGCACAGTTGAAGCTGACAAAAACTTGCTATTGCGAAAATAAACCAACGACTGAAAACTGGTATTATGATCGAAAATCAATCTTTGAAACTTGTTACTATATGTCCGACTGCTTCCTTTATTCCAATTATGTGCTGTGCTGTGCTGTGCTGTGATTTAATGTTATGTGATGTAATGGCTACAATCATAGATGAACAGCATGAAATGGCATGAAAAGCACCTAAATATCATGAAATCTTATCTAACATATTCATCTAATATTCATCTAACATGCATGAACTAAGGTTCACATCTCAATCCATAATGTGGTCATTTCCATTGGCATTTGGTGCTAAATCTACCAATGGTACTCATAGCATCAATGATAATTTGGCACCACAGGAAAAACTTTGACATGACAAGTTATTCTTATGAGTGAAGTGAATGTTGTTTTATGCCAGCAACATCATAGCTGTCACCGTTGTGTATGTTAAGGCTGTGTGTGCGTGGCATGCATACTTCCAGTTGAATGACAGTGGCCTCTCAATAATGAAGTCTGGACCAGACATTTTGATATTGTGATCCAGTCAGAGCCTGACCACTTGATCCATTAAGTCTGAATGTCGCCTCTCACAACCAGCAAAGGTTGCTTGGAACAACTTCAAACCCAGATTTCAATAGGTCGGTGCTGGGGACACATTCTACCCCAAGTCTACAGTGTACACTTGACACTAAGTGTGGATTGTATGACATGTACATGACTACATTACCACGAGGGAAGTTCAGTTTTGATAATACAAGAGAGCAATATTCAATAACGTGAGGTTATGATCCATCATAAGGAATGATACTCAACCGGTATTCATCCTGCACTCCCATCTGTCTGGAATCTCCAATGGGTCTGAGATATTCTGAAGAAATCTCCACTTCAAGCAGTAACTGTTCACACACTGCACCCATGTGCCTGCAACAAGAAACAGAACATTATATTTCTGCTCCGCTAAAAGTGTAACTACGCATAAGTGCAACACAATATCCTCCCATTGTCCTTGCTTACAGACTGAAGATTGGGCAGTCAGACTTGATTATTTGGCTGATTGTGCATCATCATACCTGATGGTTAGGATCATTGCCCAAGTTTCAAGTCACAGGTGCTTGCTTTAGACTACAGGCTGCCGTGAGTTGGCATGTGACTGACTTAGGAGCAAAACATTATTCTACCATTAATTTGGAAAATACTTGATTTTGATTGGTCAAACAGAGGTTTCAAATCACAATAACCCCCCTGATTTTACAGCTGCATCAATGTGGAAGCTAATATTTTTAGAATGGGATTTCTTTTACAATCATTGTCCGTAGGCATATTTAAATACTTACCGTATTCGACGTAATAAGCGCCAAGGGCGCTCTCAAAATTAGAAATAGGGGGCTCTTATTAGAATATTATTTTGGTGGAAAAAACAGAGTTGAAAGATAAATTTCGTGGTTTATGCTGATTCCAGAATTTAATTCCCCATAATTAAGGGTGCATATAACACACGAGTGCGTATTATACACGAATAAATAAGTCTTGTGTACTTTGATCAATCGGAAGGGGTGCTAATTGGGATTGTTCACTTGCCAATATATTAGCAAATATCGCCGTGGGCGCTTATTAGAGCGGGGCGCTTATTACGTCGAATACGGTATATGTACAATTATAGGCTAGAAAATGCAAAGTTATGGTTACCACAATATTCAAGGATGTGTGTCAATACAATTCGTGCAAAAAACACGATAGAAATCTTCAAAGAGAATGTATTTCAAGTTTTGAGCACAAAAGAAACTTGCTAACGTTTCTATATACGACTGCATCCTCATATCTTTTGCATCACAATGAGCAATATGACGTCATAATAGACACATTTGGTTCAAAATTCAATTTAGCTAGGTTAAATCTTCAGATAACCTGGCTCTACAGTGAAAACACAGTAAGTTTATCTCCTAATTCACTCACCTACGTCCTCCAGCTCCCTCTCACTCATCTTCTTTTTCAGCGAGGTTTTTTCTTCACTTTTCACTTTCTTCACTTTAACATCTCTGTTTGGAAGAGCTGCCGTTTTTTTCGATTCTTTCTTCATTTCTAAAACACCCAAAACAGTTATGAATGCCTCTTAACATGTTTTTGTTGTAACTGGGTTCAGTGGCACTGATGATCTCTTTACAATAGAAGCCTTCATAAGAAAATTCACTTAATATCTCTGCAGATATGAGATCAATAAACACTAGGTAACTTGGTACATTTGGTAGACAAGACATAAAAGGAATGGAAACAAAGGGTAGTTTGATATTGGATAAGTGAACAATAATATAAGACTTTCACAGTGTCATGTAATTTAAACACATATATAATCACCCTGTCCATTTTTGTCATTTTAATGTCAACATTGAGTGACATGAACAAGAGCATTTTAATGCATTTAGTCAAAATATCACTGATTTGAAACTTTAGTCTTTTTCACTTAAGGATTAACTGTGTATTTTTTTTCCGGTTCATTGGGGTATGAATCGAAAAAGTGATGTGCAAATGGTATGAATCCCGAAAACATGAACATTGTGGAACCGAGGCTGCACTTTTGCTGTTTCATTCCTTCTCAAAGGGTTGTTTGGACAATGAATATGCATGAATTTCGCTAAATGCCTTGTGCATAACGATACACATGAGGAGAAAGGGAATTCCCTCGACTGTAATATTGGGATTCCCCGACATTCCGTAGTTATAAAAGTAGTCCGCTTCGGTGGGCGTGGCTTAATTTTTTACATTCATTGGTAAATGAATGCAATAACACGTGACCAATTCAGCTAATCAGAATGCAGGAATTTCAATGAACACAAGGAAAATTTAATTATATACAAATAAAATGCTATATTTTTTTATATGTTGTGCATTCAAACACAAACACAACATACATCATTACCATTACGACGAAGAGCAAATGCTTTTGTGTCTAAATCAAACCTTTTCCTATTTTCTTTGGAAGTAAACTTGTCTCTTTTCTTTTCTTTGTGTCACTTGTGGATGGAGGATACACTGTATCTGCAACTGAAATCCACAAGACCAGCAATTAAAACACTTGTACTCTTGCTTGATAATTACACTTTGTCACATCTTACAGACCCTATTTCGAAAAATCATTGAAAATAAATAGTTAAAGGGTCTATTAAATTTCATGAATTCCGCCACCAACAGAACGGTTTTAGAACAAAAATCATATGTAAACCCACTAACACAAAGGCCTTTGAAAGATGGCCCTAGGATCATTGAGGTTTTCTGCCACAATTTTGACCCACTGAAACTTTGAATTTTGATACCAAGGTTATGAAAAAGACTCCTTGAATTTAATTTCGCAAAGCTTCAGTCATTGTTACTGTCTACAGATCATTATTATTTCTTTCCTCAAAAGTTCCTTAAAAGTTCCTTAAAATCTAAGTTTCAGTTCTCTGGGCCTGGTTTATTTCTTTTATTTTCCATGTTTAAAAAACAAAAAGCGAGTTCCCCGCCGTGATATTGTTGGAATATTGCTAAAAGCGGCGTAAAACCATACTCACTCACTCACTCACTTAAATAAAGTTCTTGCAGAATAACAGTCACATATTCTGGCACTTCCATTCAATGCTTATAATTTACTTCAGATGGGGAAAGGAAAATTCAAGGCATAGTATCTATTTTCTAAAACTTTTCAAGGCTAAAATATAACTTCAAAGATATTTCAAGCCTGTGCAAACACAGATTCTTTCTTATTTTTCATTGTTCTTATTATTTTTATTTTATGCCATAAGCAAATCTTAGTCCAGGCTCTTCCCTTTAGCCAGTACACAGAAGAAGTTGAAAGTTAAAAAAGACGAATGAAGGATGATCAGGCAAAGGACAACTTGATATGCCACTCAGACTCCAGTCCAGGTAAAATAAAACCTTCAAAGTACTTCAAACGTTTTACATTAAGTTTAACCATTTCTTAATTGTCTGGATCTACATTTGAAGTTTGAATATGCCATAAAGAATACAGGAAAACATACAACTTTATGGATAACAACTTGTGGATGACTGTTTTCAGCAACATTTCAATGTAGAAGCTTACACCGTTATCAAACAGGTATGTAACGGTGTAAGATTCTACATCATAATGTCGATAAATGCAATAAACCAGAAGTTGTTCTCCAAAAAGTTGTATATTTTCTTATTTACTTACCTTCTTCTAGAATGCCAATCAAACAGTTACCATAAAAAAACAGTGATATATATCAAATGGCATTCAGTAGTAAATATTTCCTACCTGAACAAATATCTTTACGTTTGGTGGCCTGTTTTTCTTTTTTTGGTTTTGCTGACTTTGTTGAAAATGCCAAAGCAGTCGTTGTCTCTGAAAAGCACAGAGAATCTGAGGGTCATCATAAAAACATTCTTGAAATATCCTTTACAAAAATATTTACAAAAATGATAATTCAAATCAATACAAAACCAAAGTTTGTTAGATGAGTGCAAGGCATTGTATACATAAATTAAATGATATGCGAATTTTGTAATTTTAGATGCAATAAATACCTTTAACTGTGGAGTCAGGTATCATAAGCTTTTTCTCGGGTGGCATTGTTTTTTCCACATTGTATTTATTCTCCTTATGTTTGGATAATGCCTTTTTGCTGAAACATATGGCCTCAAAATGCAATATATATAGTTGAAATAATATACATCAGGATTAGTCCCCCTACCTCCCCAATATATATAAGGTATATAAGTTATCTAGGATGTGCTATTATTGGTAAAGTGACATTTCCCCCCATCAATTCATTGGGATTGGTTGATAGCTGGCAGTGAAGAGGAAAGTCTGTTGAAAGTCTAAAGAGGACAGCCATTGCACAGAAATAATGGCTATGATGTAATAGAGGTAGTATTCTTAGAATTATATACAATAACTATTGTTTGCTTTTCCCATGAATAACGGACCAGTATGCTTCAACTCCACACACGTAGATAATACAAGTGGAAGACAAGCGAGCATATGTTCTTTTTAGACACCCCTAACATCGATCAAGCAATTCTGTAAAGTAGAACTAAATGGTTTTTTTGTTTGTTTGTTTGAGATGAATGGCTCTGGCTTCATGCATGTGGCTAAAGTCACAGACTGATATAGTATTCGTAGGTAACATGCTGAATAGTTTTGATGGTTGGAGGTCTCTTAACTTTTAAGCAAACAAATGGAAGAACTTCACAGTAAAACAGGGTATATAAGTAGCTGTGTCAGTATTGGCAAATATCAATACTTGTCAAGAAGAATTGCAATACATGCTGTGACATTTCATGTTGCAAAATATCGTTACTACAATGTATTGTTAACACTCCCATACAGGTGTGTGATCTTTTTGTACAAATGAAATTGAGAACTGTATTTCTTTCAAACATTAACTTAAAACATTTCCAAAGATTGCTGGTTTAGGATATTTAATGACTTCCTTTTCTACCCACTTTTGGGAGGCATGGTTGGCTCAGTCGTCTAATGCGCCGCAATGTGCTGTGCAGAGTTGCATCCCTTGGGCACGCCAGAAACCAATAATCTTTGCGAATCCTCTACCTCTATTACATCATTTTGGCTGTACACACACTACAACTATATCTTCAGCTTTTCAACAGAAGTCCTCTTCACTGTCAACTATACAAGACTAGTTGTCACTGCAATAGCACCAAGTATCTAACGGCTCTTCTGTGTGCAATGGCAGGAAAACCTCACTTCCTTCCTGTGAGTGCTGGAGTGAACATCAACTTTCAATCCCACTTTTTCTACAGCACTTAGTTTGTGGATTCCCACTATATCTAGCTAATTCAGTTTAACAGAAACTTATGATTGTGTGTCGGAATGCTGGTTCTCCCCGATTATTTTCTATGTTTGTCAGCACCATATCCGTGTTCGCAGGTTTCACCAAAGCGGTAAAATGCCTGAAACCTGCATCACTTCAGGCTTAAATAACCACATTAAGTTGACACACCATGACATAACTGGAATACTGTTAAAGAGGCGTCAAAACCTAACCTACTCACTCACTCTGCCCCGTTTGGATTAGGGCATAAAAATCTTGGCATATATACCATCAATATCAATAGATATAGTAGCTAGCATGTATTTCCTGAACCAGTGCTTACTTGGACAAATGCATACGTCAAGGTGACCCTTATAATGGGTCCAAACCCCATGATCAGGTCCTACAGCAACATCCTACTCTGTGAATGCTAAGTGCCTTGACTGCAATAGCAGCACTGCCCCTGCATAAAAAGGGACTCTTTTCATGCCAGAATGATCAAACAGTACATCTTCAACTTTGAGTTAGCAGACCAGTAAAGTGGTGCTTTAATCAAACATGATTACTAAGGACTTCAAATTGGCTATAGTTCTCTTGTGGATTCACCGAATCAGTATCATTTCTACATACTTATCCCACTTGTCAATGTCTTCATCCTCCATGTTGACAAAGTGCTTCTGATCCTCCATCTCCTCTACCTTCACTATCACCTCAATCACCTGACTACTCGTTTCATCCTTGTCAGATTCTTCATTCATGAGGTTCCCTTCATCGTCAGAGTTATCTGAAACTGATTGCAATTTAAAGATTATGCTCTATTTTTCTCTTATTTGTATCTGAAAACAGGCCTGAACATAATTTTCATGAAAAATATTTATATACATCATAAAATTATGGTAGGAAATAGAAGATGGCATGAACTGAGTGAAAATCAAAGGTCATGACTTAAAAGTTTATGTCTATCTACTAGAACAGTGAGTGAGTGAGTGAGTGAGTGAGTGAGTGAGTGAGTGAGTGAGTGAGTGAGTGAGTGAGTGAGTGAGTGAGTGAGTGAGTGAGTGAGTGAGTGAAGATTAAACGTCACATCGGCAGTATTTCAGCCATATCGTGACAAGCAGAAGAGTGAGTGTTGATGACGATTAACTCTGTGGCCCAGGACCACTGCCCAACATCTTCTAGCCATGTTCTTGATGAGTGTCCTGAGTGAGTGAGTGAGTATGGTTTTACGCCGCTTTTAGCAATATCCCAGCAATGTCACGGCGGGGGACACCAGAAATGGGCTTCACACATTGTACCCATGTCGGGAATCGAACCCGGGTCTTCGGCGTGACGAGCGAACGCTTTAACCACTAGGCTACCCGACCGCCCCGAGTGTCCTGACAATTGGCCTTGGCAACTGGAGCCACTCCTCTTGCAAAGTTACATTGCTCCAGATTATGAGGAGCTACAGGTGCATCCAACAAGATTTTGAAGTGGGCTTTTAGCTGATCAAGGCAGTACCTGGATACATGAATAATGCAGTTGTCTGAGGCACTGCAGTTCACTAAGCAGAGTTGCATCCCGCAGGGAAAGCCATACTCCCTTGATGATGGGATCAAATACCAGAGTCAATCTTCCCATGATCTCTGGATTGTCAGCATCATACCTGTGCTCTGGGTGTCACGAAAATGGTAAAAGCCAAAGACCTGCTTCACTTTAGCCATTCCTCCCACATTAAGTTGACACAGCATGATAGAACTGAAATTCAGTTCCAAAGAGGCGTTACACCCAACTCACTCAGAATTCCATCATCAAGACAAATAAGACCTGTTCCCAGTGATGCCAGTCTATAGCAATACTGAGTCACCACCAAGTTGTACCTGCTATGGTACATTGTTGGAACCTGGATTCTTCCACTGGACATGATGTCACTACTTCCTGATTCCATTTTTGACTGCTCATGTCATGTTTCAAAAGTAAGAGGGGTCCTGGGCCCCATAACTGTTTCTGCGGTAGTATTTTAATCCAAGGCTCCTGATACTATCATTAATGATAATGGCTAGGAACCCTTGATTTTTATACCATATTTCCAAAACTGGATCTTGATACAATTATTGCTTAAATTATTTGCATAACCTGGGACAAGGGATAGAAACGTATTTTGTTTCATGTGTGCCACAGCGCACTCACAAAGGTATTTAGGTGTGCACTTTAGAATTTCAGTGTGCCAACAATACTTAGACTTTAGATCAACTTTATGCTTGGTGAATGTAGGGGCAAGGGTGGCCCAGTTATCTTAGGCGCCACGATTTGCTGAGCAGAGTTGGGTCCCTTGGGCATGCCAGAAACCAATGATTGCGGGTTTGAATCCTGGTTCACCCCGATTATGTTTCTAGGTTTGTCAACACCATACCCGAGCTCGTTAGTTTAACCGAAGTGGTAAACGTCTGAGACCTGCTTAAAATCCTCCCAAATTAAGCTTACACGCCTTGATATATTTGAATACTGTTAAAAGCCGTGTTAAACCCAACTCAGTCACTCACTCGGTGAATATGATTTCACTATGAGCGAGATAATAAGCAGTTGTAATCAGCTACCCAAAAGTTTGCCCTTCTTTTTCTAGGAGATTGACATCCTATTCCTTTCCTGAATACAAGATATTTTCATGAAACAAACTGTGCATAACGCGTGTTCGTATGCAACATATTTATCAAAAATACTTTTGAGAAAGAACATTTATTGCATCATTTGGTCGTTTTTGTTTTAAATACATGTATGACATCTAAGTGTGTCGGGAAAGTTTCAGAGATGCCAAAAATGCAGTAACATTTAAAAAACAGGGGAATGTGAAGGTCAAAAGTCATAAATATCGGTACATCAAAAATGAAAACATACAAACAACCATATCATGATAATCCTCATACCACATACATTTCATACTTGGCTGAGTAATTGGAAAAAATGCCTTTTTTAATGTAGCTGCTGATGGACAAAGGATGATGAGCTATAACATTAGTTTACTTGACATTCATTCAATCAGCTGAACTAAAACTAATGGGCGGGATTGATCAGTAAAATAGGGTCAGGGGACCCCTATTGCTCAGAAATGGACGGCGATTTATTTTCAACTTTGAACAAGGTGACTCAGTGTGAATATTATAGCAAACTGCATTGACTCCTTTCTTCTCTCTAGATTTTGTCTTTCAATAAGATGCCCATTATTGCAACTACCTTCTCCTCGGGTCTCGGCTCTGGAGACACTCTGTAAGACTGCCATGAAGATATCATCATATTCCTCATTTGTTAGTGACTTGCCATACACCTTCCTTGGCTCACGGACATTACCATCCCCCACAGGCTACAACAAAACAACAATTTTAATCTTTAGAGCAACCGAAGAAGCATTCTAGATTAAAAATCATTGTTAAATCTGTTAGAACGAAATGACATCTCGAACTATTTCATCTTTAGTTAGCCCAAAAATCAAATCAGAACGATGATGCCTGGACATTCAGATTCCAGTTAGTATATTGCTTTGGGCACACACAAAAAAAGAGAAAACAATCAGGGCCCATTTTCCTGTATTTACCACATCCAGTAAATTCTGTTGTCACTGCTAACCACAGCCATAAAAGATTACAACTATGTATAAATCAATGCCAGAAGATAAAGAGACAATAGTTAAAGTCCAACTTGTTGCCATGGAAACAAAAAATTAACACTTTGTAAATTCCTAAATTGCAAAAAGCACCACTTCAGCCCTTGGTTAATAAATGTAACAGGTTTGGATGAAAAGTCTTTCACAGTTTTCAAGTTGTGCTCCAGAAGCGACCCCTACACCCACCCTGTTGAGAGTTTCAGTTTCTGCTCAGTCCAAAATGTTTCCATGGAAATCAAGAAAAATGAAAATGCCAAAAATCTGTAAATAGCAAAAGCCACCACTTCAGGACCTGTTTGATATATCTGCTAATTTTTGCTGAAAATATTAAACGTTTTTTTAGTTACGCTCCGGAAATGAAATGATTATGGACGGACAGACAGACAGATGAGGTGTTGACTTCAAAATACAAAGTATTTTCAGGACTCGATTTTAGGAACGTGATTTAACTTGCACCAGGTGAAACATAGATGCATAAACTTGTCTAAATAAATACAATCCCAAATTTCTGATCAGCAATTTGTGATGTAGTGTGGTAAATAAAGCATAGAGGTATTGAGTGTGTTCAAAGAATGTTGTTGTGTGGACAAGTAAGGTTTAGCCAGACACTTGGCGCATGTAGACATAAATATCAGGTTGCATTTTTCAATAATAGGTTGCACTGGTGCATGATTTATACAGCTAAATCGAGCCCTGCCTTGCAATCTGCAATAGATCTGCTCCAACAAGGATATCCCATCAGATCATTGAGCTAAATAACTATACTTTATTTGGCATTTGCACTTGGCATGTTGCCAGAAACCACGAGATATATTGACTCTGAATGAACTGATAATGTCTTTGCTCAAGTCAACAGTTTTCTTGCATTTTGTGCAGTGATTTTGTATAATTTCCAAAATACCAGCACTGTATCTTAATTTCATCCCTCTGTTATGAACACAAGTATATGCATATATTTCAATTAGGAATCGTGCATCACGATGACGTGAAAAGGCACTTTAGATAACAATTGTAAAATTTACAATCGGCTTTTTCTGTTCCTTCTGTTTCAATTCGATGTTGTCTGCAGTTCTGGGTTGTTTATCTACTTTCTGCAAATAGAAAGATGCTGTTTGGTAAAATAAGATACAATACTATTTTATTAAAATAAAACAAAAGAAATGATCATCAAAGTTTTACACACATTGTTTTTATTTTTCTGTTGGTGCTGAATTCTGTGATAAATACAAACAAGTATTTAATTCCTCTGAAGTACAACAGTTGTATGTTCCATATCCTTGTGCTTGTGAAGAAATAAATAAAATGCCAGTGATTCTCATATTCTACCTGAGACAACTGTACACAGATAATATGAGGGGAATCAGCCCCAAACAATTCTTGTTAACCATGAAACTCTTAGCACACTGTGTCATCATGGAAACTCATTAATGCCTTGATAAACAAATAACTAAACATTCTTTCACATACCTATTAAGAGCATGTTACCTGAAATAATATTTACGTTGTATTTTTGCCTAAGTAAACACAACTGTCTCACCTTACAGCTCTTTTGCTTGGCATCAAGGCATGATGGTTTCTTCTCCTTGTCTGGTACGACGTTAGACTTTACAGAAGGCACTAAAGAGAATCATTAACATCAATATAATTAAATTTGCCACTCACAAAGTAAATGTCTCAAAGACTTCTTAAAATAACTGTTGAAGCATTTTGGTGCATAACCTATTAAAATTATTCTCTCATTCCTTTCAACGAAAAAGGAAAAATGTTTTATGCAATAAGCCAATCTTCTTGCCAAATGTATTTGTGAAACATGTATGTGATAATTAACTAAAAGAACCCTTCAAAAGCATATGCAATTTAACTCTACAAGAAAATATTGCAAACAAATACTCTTAAACTGTCAGTGACTGTGTTCAAACAAATAGGAAATGTCAAGTGTGTTGAGCGTCAGAACTTCACTGAGGACAGTTGTATGTTTCTTCAGTCCATGCCAAATGCTTGAGTCTACCAGTCCTAGCGGTCACTCCCCATCACTGATCAGTCATACTCCCATTTGTTATCCTCCCATTTGTTATCCTCCCGTTTGTAACATAAATCCCTTAGAAGCTGAACAGACTAGTCCTCTGTTTTGAAAGACAGGTGAGGCCAGTTAAATCCATAACCTTAACCCTTGACACATATATATACTCTTTGATGACATGTATGGTGTTTAAGAAGCCAATTATTAATCTGAGTAAAGACAAGGAGTTAACACAAAAAATTCAAACATTTTACAGGAAATTATGTTGTTAAAATATCTAAATTTTGAAAGAAGCAAAGGAGTCAAGTAAGCCAATTTCTAATCTGAGTAAAAGACTAAGAGTTAACACAAATTAAATTGAGTTTACGTACTCATTCAGGTGGGAAAAATCACAAAGTAATGGTATTGTATATAAATATGGACATATGGTGTGGTCTCCTTAACACCTCTCAGTCCCCGCTGTATTCTGCGGTCACGGAATATTTTGCAGAAATCCCCACTCACTGCAGAAATGTACCTTTCTTGCAGAACTCACAGAGAGTTTTGCTTCTTTTGCTGCGCAATTTGTCACATACACAGCAGAATTTAACATGTCAGTTGAAAGTTGGTTTTAAACGTGTCAACAGATATTTATTTTGAATTGAAGTGAAGTTTACTTTTGTATTATTGCTCACCAAAAGTGCATGTCTGTATGTTTACACTAGCTTAATATATCCTGATTCACTTCAGTACACTATTCTAGTCATGGATAAGTTTGTCATAAAAATGCCTGCCACAAGACTTACAAATGCAAAACTAGGAAATTAAAGGTTTTCAGAATTGTGTGCAGAATTGACAAAATGTGGTTGCAGAATTGACAAAACTTGACCACAGAATTTAGATTTTTTTTTATAAATGGTGTGACAAGAGGGTTGTATGAATAATGGTGGGGTGATGCTGCGAAACTGACCTGTCTGACTGGATCAAGGGAGCAAGTATATATCAGACACCAAAAGAAAATTGCAAAATACGCAATGTGAATGATATCATAAGATAAACACTCAGCGGCTTGAAACATTAATAAGGAGCCATGTTATTTGAACCAACACTCCACTAACCACCAACAGATTAAATGAAACATTTTAAGAAGTTTCTGATAGCAGTATATTTTTCTTAAACTAAATCACAATTCTATTGTGCCTGCACATAACTTTTGTGAGCAGTCCACATCAATAAGTTCTGTTCTGTTCTGTCACTTACAGATATTGTTATGTCAAAAAACAAGTATCATCACAACAAAATACAAACCTGAAAAAGAGTGTTTGGCCTGTTTCTTCTTCCCTGTATCCATTGTTCATACAATGTGCTTGCAATCAGATAATTCAACCTGAATCAAACACAATCTGGCTGTGAACATAGTAAATCATAACGAAATTGCAATACTGTCAAGCTTAATTGGCTATGCAGTGATAGAATTTAAGGATGATCTTTGGCATCATTTACTGCCAATGTTTCACCAAAAGGACCCCTAAAATTCAATTTTAATCTAAACTGAGCTTTTTATCAGTTTTATTCCTATGCAGGAGACATATTTGATTAGATCTGACTCATAGCTGAAAGAAATTTAAGAAGCAATGAAAATAATCAAGACTGGACCAGACAATCCAGTGAGTGATACCATGAGCTTCAATCCACATATTTGGGATACAATGACATGCATCAACCAAGTCAGCAGGCCTGACCACCCATTCCCATTAGTTGCCTCTTACGACAAGTATAGTTGCCTTTTACAGCAAGCAGGGGTTGTTAAATACCTATTCTAACCCTGATCTTCTGTCACAAAGGTATCAAAATTTATCAGTATTGGCATGAAGATTTTGTAAGCATTGCATGATCAGCCAACAGATATATAATTTTTATTATTAAATCCTTAATTTTTATTGAAGCAGGATAGGTAATTTTGCAAAAGCATCTACCTCAAGAATACAAATGACTCAAATTTATGTGTAGGAAACTATTTCTATACCCTGTAGCCAAAGAACAATGCATCCTGATGTATCCTATTCAATCCCTTAAATTGTGAAGTCATATCATTATCCTGAAACTGTATGTAAATATGATTTAGATTTTTTAAGATATTGTATAGGTTGATTTAATCTTATACTTGTGACTATTTCCACAATTAAAGGGATAGTTTATAAAAATCCCTTCAATTACCTATGCTTTATATCATTTTCACATTTTACGCCATATGGGCATGCCAAAAGGATATAATTATGTTTACTGAATTATATCAATATGACATATTATTTCAATGGGTTTTTAAATGAACAAGTAGATCTAACTAGTTCTGAATTATTTGCATTGCTCCTATCTTATCCTTTCAGAATAATATCTTTTCTGATTCCCATTAAACAAAATCACATCCTTCAAACCTTTACATAAATGAGAATAAGGAAAAGTATGTAAAATTGTGCCCTTTTTGCTAGAAATGTCCATCTTGAATAAGCTAAAAATAAATTTCTGTATTCTATAATCATTTCCTTGCAATAGAAATCTACACCCCCCAAGACCAGGCATGTTGCTAAAACGAATATTATAAAGCATAAGATACGTCCAGGATAAAGAGTGCATGAGGTAGACTAATATGGGACATTATGGCTGTACTGACTTTTCGATATATTTTTCCACCAGACATCAGTATTTTATCTGCATTTATGTTCCGTATCAATATCGTTCAAATTCTCCCGCCACATAAATGACACTGACATGCCCTACTTTAGTTGGAATCTAGGTCAAATTCACGTTTGATGGACACAAAAATCAGGAGCATTGTCAGAGCACCCAACTGAATACACACATGCAATTATCTCATGCATATTTATGCATTTTTAAAACTTCTGTCACCGGGATTTAAGTTTTCAATGCCACCTCTGACAGATTGCAAATCCAACATAAAAACAGACGATATCAAAACTTCCGGTTTTACACCCTTCCCATAATGCACAAAACATGAAACTATTCTCGCAACCACTAACGCTTTGTTTTGCGTTATCTCCACTTAGTAGGTAATATTAACAATAATGAAAGAATATGAAACAAAACGATGTGATATCTTCTGAGGGACTGGCCATTTATTGTAGGGGCGGAATTAGGGGAGGAGACGGTCAGCGTGACATTAGGACTGTAACATAATTGCAACCCCACCCCTCCATTTTATGCAACAAATTATATGGCCCCTCCCCTAAATAATACATGTTACATGATCTCCCCTCTCCTCCTGACAATAAATTACCAGTCCCTATACAATGTTCCAATCTATAACCAAAAAAAATCAAAATCGAACTGTGATATTTCTCATGAAATCCCCCTTAATCTCTCCCTTGTAGAATACAACGCACGTGACAAAGCAGACTTTAGTTCTGAAAAAGGTTCTTGATATTTGGAACAATAATAAGTAAAACAACATGAATATTGGTATGGCCATGAAACTCGCAAAGTCTGGAGTGTCATCGTACCCAGACGGCAGTGATCGTTACTTACAATATCAATCAACGGATTTTCTGGTCCAGGCGCGATTATTAGACGGGTTGTCGTCACATAGCTTGAATATTGCTGAGTTCGGCGTTAAACAACACACATCTATAAACACACACACACACACACACACACACACACACACACACACACACACACACTGTATTATTAACAATGTAAGAGATCAATTGCCAGTTGATGTTTAGATTATTGCCTGCACATCTTCAGAACGATTTGATTATTTACGGTTCTTGTTACCGATCTGTGACAATATTATACATAGCCTGTGTCTCTGAAAATATACTGATGGAAATGAATAAAAGAACACTTGGTTTTAGACACAGAATAATTAAAGGCTATCGTGGGTTCCCAGCCTGGTCTACCAAATACGCGTTGGAAACAATGAACACAAACACATCTCAACATTTGGTTCTGACGTGTTGAATTTGTATGGACGTTAGTTCAAATGTACTGACAATAAAAGCTTTTTCCCCAATATTTTTCATTGCAGGTCTTGAGGTATTCCGAGTATAGTTTTGTATGAACTAATTACCAAGGCCCTCTGGCACCTGCCCCGATTATGTTTCAAGGTTTGTCAGCACCATACCCGTGCTCTGGGGTCTCACCGAAGTGGTAAACGTCTGAGACCTGCATCACTTCGGGCTTTCCTCCCACATTAAGCTGACACGCCGTGATATAACTGGAATACTGTTAAAAGCGGCGTTAAACCCAACCCACTCACTCTGGCACCTTATTAATGATCTGTCGGTAGTTTGATCATACAAATGTAGCAATTATAGCCAACAGAGTTTATGTGTTTGTTATGTTTGAATGACCGATATGGTTTTGTTTACTGTTTTAGCTCGATGCATTCTCATAATAATCAGGCCTTAGTGTTCGCTACTGCTACACAAACATCTTGGTGTAGCGGTAACGTTCACTATAACATCAGAGTTTAATAAGGGGACTCAGGTTATAAACCGTTATGATGACGTCAATTTAAGGTATTGATGTTTCAGTAAAAGTGACGTAACTAGAGGCCATTATGCAAAATTATGGAGAAATTATATATACCATATATAACACGATCGGAGATATCACTCGAATCGGTTGATTCTGGAATTAGGATCAACATGCCTTCACTGGTGACGTCATTATATGTGACGTCATGAAACATTGCGTCAAAGTAATGATGTCAATAATGGCAAATATATTTTAATATAAGTCGCTTTCCTTGCACAAGGTGGATAATCAGTGCATTTAATACATCCAGGCTTCAAAATGAATAAACAATAATAATGATTTATTGCACCGTACGGCACTGCTGTAATGCAGATACCACTGTTGACGTTTCGATGCAGAGTTGCGTCCCTTGGACACCCCAGAAACCTATGATTGTGGTTCGAATCCCGGTTTGCCCTGATTATGTTTCTAGGTTTGTCAGCATCATACCCGTGCTCGTGGGTTCACAAAAGTGGTGACCCGGGAAGATCCGGGGTAGACTAGGTCTTCAGCAACAAACAAACTAAACAAACACGAAAGTGGCAAACGACTGAGACCTGCATCAATTCGGGCTTTCCTGACACATTAAGCTGACACGCTGTGATATAACTGCAATATTGTCAGCAAAGTTATACCCAACTCACTCACTCATTCAGACCCAGCTCCGATCCCCCCCCCCCCCCCCCCCCCCCATACACACACACACAAGTAATAGAAAATACTGTCTCGGTCCTCCTTCATCTTAAGACTAAAACCAAATACATCACAATGATAACAAACAGTATACCCTTTGTAATAAGGCAACAGTTATGTATGAGGAAGAGCATGTATGTGTAGTCATGTAACAGCGAAACATGTACGCAATCCAGTGTATCTAATAATAGTTGCCACATCCACTCAAGGCTCAACTACGACAAACCGCTGTCTCGTGTACCAACATCCCTGGTCGAGTTGCCGTTACTGATGGACACCTGTTTGTATGTGTTCTTCAAGGAAAACAATATGTTCAGAAAATATAAACACTTGAAGATAATTTTTGGAAGGCTATTTTGTACTCAAAGTTTTGTTTTCTGTTTTTGTATTATTAATTGTGAATCATAGCCAGCATCAAGTGCGCATGTCCGAAAGTGGTTTGTTGTGTGCACTGGCTAGACTAAGGAAGCATAGCGAATGTGTATAGAAGATAAATGCTCCTCGATACTCAGGTCACGTGACGTGACGCATGCATGGAATATACGTGTGGCATGGTGTTGACAGGAAGGGACGTGGGATATATAAATAACAACATTGTGTTGTGTGTCTATTGTTTAACGGCGCTCTCGGTAATATTCCAGTTTTTTGACTGTATATAATCGAGTCGGGACCAACGTCGCACGCCGTCGGGGTAAACAATAAGACACGCAATCAACAAAGTCTGACAGTGTCCAACCGATCCACCAAGTCGTCTCGTATGTCAAGCAAAGGCTGGTTGCGACCAATGCTAACCCGGAATCTTCACGTACGGTGTCTGTTGTGTTATAAGTGCCATGTGTGAAAATGTTTCTAGAGCTGTGTATAATTAGGTGATCATTAAATCATAGACTGAAAAATAGTGTATGAACTTTGAGGTGACAGATGTACATTTGTATTTTATGGCTTGAATCAAACCTAGGTCGTTTCTGTTATCATTGATCAAACCTATGTTTGCCAAGATCACAATGTGTATGTGTGTGAACACAAATCAAACTAGCATATGATATCTGAGTGGGCTAGCACTATAAAAATCGGCATCAGTCCGGAGTAGTACAAGCAGCCACACACACGTGCATGCACGTCACTATATATGTGCAATAATCTTGGACGCAACGTTAAACCCCATTTCACCTCACCTTATATATATTAGCGTCACTCGCACTCCTCAACGTATTTTTTAAATATGAAGTATTCATGTTTTTTGTTTTTAAAGCAATATTTATTCATTCATTACGTATTCTGGATAATTACAACATAATTATAGCCGACAAAACATTATGATTCGTTGCCACACAGTCATCATGTTCAATACACTCAGATTCATAAACAAAGCTTCCCAAATTAACAGTGTCAATATGTACCTAACAGTTGTGAAACCGTTATTTCATACATGAACACAGTGTCAAATCACTCAAAGTTCTTTTAACCTAAACAAAAATAGTTTTAAAATGCGACGAATAAACTATATATTCATAGAAGACGTAATATTACTCACATGACGGTTTAAAGACCGTATTGTATTTAGTTTGGGCACATTGCCACTTGAGAATTTCCATCAAAACCACTCAGTTGCAGGGAAAATCACTGGAATGTTTGTTGATAAAGAAATTATTTGTGAGGAAAATAGTATGTCTCGATAATATAACTTTTGCGCATGCGCGTTGGGCATTGTGTGTTCCAAGCAGGTGCGAGGGGGACGAAGTTGTTAGCCCACAATTTGGCCGACAGGACTGCATAATCGGCGTTATTTGGTGTTAAAGGACATTTGGTTTGCTGCGTCGCTGCGTCCCTTTCCGCACGTAGTTGTATTATTACTTTTTAAGAAATATTATTTATTTACGTTTGTGCGATGTCGACACGCACAACGTCCGCAAGGGGGCGCTAGGCGTGTATCGTCATTGCGTCGTCTGTTAAAAACAGCTGAGAGATCTCTAACATATGTCATAAGCAGTATTTCTATACTGCGGGGATGTGACAGTTTGATAGCTGCACACAGGAGGGAAGAAGAATATTCAAAATGAGCGTGGAAGTCAAAACCCCGACGAAATCACAGTTTAAAATCGAAGGATTCCCTTGTGGAGAACGATTAAAACCAGGGGATGGCGGCGATGAAAAGTTACAAAAGGAATCGAAGAATAAAGTTGGCAAAGATGTGTCTTTTCAGGATAAAAATGGAGATAAACAGCATAGGAATTCGTTTTCGAAGGCTGACAAACCCAAGGAAATTCAATACAGAAAAAGACGTTATTCAATGCCACAGAAACTCGGTGAATCAGCACAAGGATCTCACATTTCATTTATGAAGAAAAGAAAATTTCTCATGGATGCAAAGGTTATGGGGAAAAAGATCACTTTACCAACAAAATTTCTTTTGGGGGGGAATATTAATGACCCCCTCAATCTGAACAGTTTATATCATGATGAAGAAGGAAAAGTTTTGAATGAATCAACACCAGTTTCCTCGCCCATGCCCACACCATCACATCGTCAGAAAGTTGAAGTTGTCATTCCACCAAACATCACAGACCCATTGAATTTAAATGCTGATGATGATTCATTTATGAGTAGAATATGCAAGAAGAGGAAAAGAAGTTACAGACATAAGCGTAAAGAAAGTACATCTCATTCAACATCCACACCACTGTTGAAAGAGGGGCCTGGGGAGAAGAAGAGAGAACTTTTGGAAGCGTTGAAAATAGACATTGACACCAGCCATGATGTGTGTGAGGAACTGTCCAGTGGTGAACTGACTCTTGACATTCAAAGTGCTAATACCAACAAATGCAGCAATAAGATAGTATCCCCAGTCATCCCCCAGGCGTCACCAAAAATCAGGAGGAGGAGGAAGACAATAAGTGAATCCTGTAATATTACTGAGACAACATTTGATGCATCTAGAGCATTATTCTGTACAAGTAGCCCTGAACCAAAAATAACACCGCCGAAGAAAACCAAAAGACAGTTCAGCAACCCAAAGAGTTCTAGTTTTTCTAAAACAAAAAGCCCTGTGAAGTTTGCAAAAAATCCCAAATTCATCTATGGCAATTACAATAGGTACTATGGCTACAGGAATCCAAGTGCTGAACAAGATCATAGGATGATCAATTTTGAATCGGAGTGGTTTGAGACAAAGGATGTTTTGGACATTGGATGCAATGTGGGACATTTGACTTTAGCCATAGCCAGAGATTATCATCCAAGGAAGATTATTGGTATGGACATTGACGCTAATCTGATCAAAATCGCAAGGAAGAACATTCGCTACTATATGGCTTCCTGTTCTACAGACACAACAAAGTTTGCAACATCCAGCACAGTGAACTACGGCCCAATGGCAGCTCCTCCACTGGGGAATGAACAGGAACTTCCACAATTTCCTCATAACTTGATGTTTATGCAGGTATGTTGCAAAGTTCTTCTTTTGATAAAAGAAATATAAGTTTGTTTGCTTGTGAATTTCTTTGGTCAGTCTTTCTCTGCTTCAGATGGCATTGAGGATCCCAATTGCGTGAATCGATGCTCATGATATTAATCACTGTATTGTCTGGTCCAGACTCGATTATTTACAGTCCACCGTCATAGTGCTGGAATATTGCTGAGTGCGGGGTTAAACAACAAACAAACCAACCAACATGTCATTGATTCCCTCAAATATTCAAATGAAATAGCCCTGAATATCTGGGAAATATTTGTGCCGTGAGCTCTATGTCCATTTGCGGATCCCTTGACACTCTTTTTCCAATCAATTGGAAGCTCATGTCTTTGTTTTAAGATGATTAACATGATTAAGTGACTGTTTTCCTCTGTTCGTACTTTTATAGGTCAGTAGTCATGGTAGACTAGGCTATTTTGACTACTTAAGTAGAAATATGTCACCTTCATAAAAAATGTAGATACTAACAATTTTGTAAAATTTCGACTGAGCAAGCTGAAAAATTGTTTCATTTTGTTTTCAGGGAAACATAGTGCTTGAGAGTGATGAGATGCTGGAGTTTCAGGAAGAAGAATATGATCTGGTCCTTGCTCTCAGCATCACAAAATGGATTCACCTCAACTGGGGCGATGATGGATTGAAGCGTGCATTCAAGAGAATATTCAAGCTACTCCGACCTGGAGGCAAACTCATACTGGAACCACAGGCTTGGGCTTCCTACAAAAAGAGGAAGAAGCTGAACGTAATGCTTTTTAACCTGTTAATATTTATATATATATGTCATCATCATCATCGGGTGGTCAGGCTTAGTGTAGGATGTTGCTCTGGGACCTGGTCATGGGGTTTGGACCCATTATAAAGGTCACCTTGACGTATGCATTTGTCCAAGTAAGCACTAGACCCGTGAAGGTCTGGGTAAGAATAGGTCTTCAGCAACCAATGCTTGCTGTAAAAGGCGACTATGCTTGTCGTAAAAGGCGACTAACGAGATCGGGTGGTCAGGCTCGCTGACTTGGTTGATGCATGTCATCGATCTCAATTACGTGGATCGATGGTCATGATGTCAATCACTGGATTATCTGGTCCAGACTTGAATATTTACAAACCGCTGTCATATAGCATGTATATTGCTGCGTGCGGCGTTAAACAACAAGTAACAAAAACTAAACTCAAAAGATCTTGCGAGCACAGGTAAAGATGAAATGTCCTTGTGATGTAATAACCATAAGGAAATTGGTGCTGTTGGCTGGTTGATGACATTGTTTACAATATCAATCACTGGTTTGCCTGGACTAGATTCAACTTGTTCAATTTATTTTTAGGCCACCATCATATTGTTGGAATATATCCATGTTAAAATCTAAAGAGCTTAACTTTGAAATCAGCTTCATAATGAATGCTGATGTAATGAAACAAAGGGTAATTTCTGAAGCATTAGGACCACAGAGATGTCTCTCGGTTTCATCAACTTCAACTGCAGAATAAGGTTGAATGTTAGGAGTGAAGCAAATGTGAAAAAGATGGCTCTGAACATGGTAAACATGGTGAAAATGAAACTATTTGTGCCAAAGACTGTGCCACAGCCTGAATTTGTTTTGTGTTGGCGAGAGGGGAAGTCATCATTTTCAATGGATAGTAAAGCTAAAATATGGGCTATTGGCTGAACTGACGAATAAAGCTGTAATATTACTTCAGTAGATTTGGGCTTCAGACAAGTGACTCAATTTGGACAGAGGTTCAGGCTTATTGTTGAAATTGTAGAATGTGGTGAAAATGTAACTCTTCTCATTGATAGCGGAACTTCTCATGGATGTTTGTTTCGCTGAAATGTTGATTTATGTTATTGCAGGAAACGATCTTCAAGAACTATCAGGACATTAAGCTGAGACCAGAGAACTTTCCAAACTATCTCCTTAAAGAGGTTGGATTTTCCAAGTGTGAAGTCATTGGAGTGCCTTTCAACAAGTCAAAAGGTAAATCCTTCCACAATACCAGGAATTGATGATCATGGGTTTACGTCCTACATTCATTCTTGCTGGGTTTCTGGGTTAGAATAGGTCTTCAGCAACCCATGCTGGCCATAAATGGCAACTATGCTTGTCGTAAAAGGCAACTAACGGGATCGGGTGGTCAGACTCGCTGACTTGGTTGATGCATGTCATCAATCCCAATTGCGTGGATCGATGCTCATGATATCAATCACTGGATTGTCTGGTCCAGACTCGATTATTTACAGACCATCGTCATATAGCTGAAATATTGCTGAGTGCGGCAATAAACAAACATTTATGCGTTAGAATTGGTCTCTAGCGACCTTTTCAGTAAAGAGAGGTGTCGTGTCAGGTAATGAAAATTGCAGTGGTCAAGGTCACAAGGCAAGAGGTGATCACGTTTCTTGAGTGCAATTTAATTTCACAAAATGTTTTTATCATGTAGTAGACTCCTAAGGTTGAGCACTGTTTATGAAAAGGTGAAGTTGAGTAACTGATCTCAGAAGGTATTGATATCATGTACATTATACAACAATAGGGTCAGGACTAAATGTTGTGCAGAGTTGCGTCCCTTGGACTTGTCAGAAACCTTGGTTTGTGTTCGAATCCAGTTTGTCAGCACCATACCTGTTCTCGTGGGTTTCACATGGTTAAATGTCTAAGACGTACATCAATTCTGGCTTCCTCCAACATTAAGCTGTCATGCCATGATTTAACTGGAATACCTGTGTACTCACACAGGATTAAAACTTTGTGAAAGGAAATATTAATGATGTGTAGAACAATAATTTTATGCAATATTGCACATTCTCTTAATTATTTTAGATTATTAGATGTTGAAATTTGGTGGTTTCCATTTGTCAATTCGTCCGTATTTCTTCAGGTTTCCGTCGCCCTCTCCAGCTATACACCAAAGCTGACACATCGGGAAATACTCCTTACACAGACATTGATGAAAACAGCCAGAGCAGCAGAAGCCATGTGTTAGCCCCAACGCTGCAGTCCGTCGCGTCCCCACAGCTAGCCGACAGCCAGGACACAGCAAGCGAGAAGGGCAAGACAGCTGGTCCAGTTCAACAGGTGTCGGGGCAGAGCTGTGGACAGTCGGACGCTTCCAGTGGTCAGCAGATGAAGGGTCCTGGCCTGTCGACGCCCCCTTGTGGTGAACAGATGGATGTGGCAACTTGTGAAGACAGTACACAGGAAGACACTGCCTCATAGATCACAAGATAGGACAGCAGAAGAATTCTGTGACATGAAGCTGATAAATACTCAAGCAATTAAGGCATTCTTTTTATTGACTGCATGTTATGTTGCTTGGTATATTTCTTATCAACCTATAGGCCGAAAGACGTTGGAACAATGATTGTTTTGTACATATCCTTGACTAAAATATGTCACCAAAACCAGTGCAAGTCAACTCTTGGTGTTTATCCTTCATTCTCTCCTGACATCGTAAACTTAGACAAGGCTATGTCAAGACCCCAATTAACTCTCATCCTCTCATTTGTTTTTACCAGTTCCATTTACTTGTTCGGGATAATGAGGTATTTGGATGTTTTTTTCATAGTCCTTGGACAAAAGCTATTTGAGAGTTGGTATGCACCTGCATAAAATATTAATTGTTATACATGAACAGTTCTTTGTTTATGATCTGTTCATTAATGCCATGAGCAAGTCCTCTTAGAAGCAACAATATATGACGTGGTTCCACCTTGAAATACATTATTTTTGAGCTCACCCGTTTAAGATTAATATAATTTTGCAACAATTGTTAAGTGGCTGATATCCAAACTTGATCATGTCCAGTTTGTGATTTGTTCCCATCAGTGCTTGTCATGCCCCCGATTAATATCCTTATTCATGCTGTTTTATTACATTAATGAAATAGGTTTTGAACCCAAAATCATGAGATTTGGTTCAGTATTCAACTTCTGGGACTCTGCAGAGAAATAAGAATTGGCCAGTTTGACTATTAATGATACTAATGGTTGGATATATTCTGTTGACTGTACATAATGAGAAAATACACAAATCTTTTCCTAACATGATCATTTTGTCAGCCTTGTGTTTGCACACTATCCGGTATGATTTGGTTTGGTTGGTTTGTTGTTTTACGCCGCACTCAGCAATATTCCAGCTTTATGACAGCCGTCTGTAAATAATCGAATCTGGACCAGACAATGTAGTGATTAATATCATGAGCATCGATCCACGCAATTGGGATCGATGACATGCATCAACCAAGTCAGCGAGTCTGATGCTCGATCCCGTTAGTCGCCTTTTACCACAAGCATAGTCGCCTTTTACGGCAAGCATGGGTTGCTGAAGACCTATTCTACCCCGGATCTTCACGGGTCCTATCCGGTGTGAAACTGTGAAACTGTTTAGAATCAGTGGTAATCGTTCAAACATCAGTTCTGGGCATGCAAGGCCCAGGGAGGCGTTCCACGAAGTGATCTTAGCACTACACCTATCATAAACCTATGATGCAGTATAGGGGTTAAAACCATCTTAGCATTAAGAATGATTTGTGGAACGGGGTCCTGTCCTCTTAGGTGCTGCTATTCGCTGTGCAAAGTTGTCCTTTGGGCATGCCTGAAATTTATGATGGTCTGTTCAAATCCAGGTCTTGGTTTTTCAGCACCGTTCCCATGGTTTAGGGTTTCACCAAAGTGGTAAACGTCCGAGACCTGCATCACTTCAGGCTTTCGACCCGTGAATTGTCGTAAGAGGCGACCAACGGGATTGGGTGGTCAGACTTACTGACTTGGTTGATGCATGTCATCGTATACCAATTGCGTGGATCGATGCTCACGATGTCAATCACTGGATTGTCTGGTCCAGACTCGATTATTTACAGACGACCATCATATAGCTGGAATATTGCTGAATGCAGCATTAAACAACAAACAAACAAACAAAACTTCAGGCTTGCCTCCAACATTAAGCTGACACATGCCGTAACATCAGCTATGGGTATTATTCAGGGAAGAGATACTAGTAGATGAAGTATCGGAAAGTCCATATCGACTTCAAAATTATTTGGAAATCCGACCTGCGGTCACACTGTGGGAGACCGCCTCCGTTGTCTAGCGTCCGCCTGGAGAGCGGAAGGTAGGGGTTTCGATCCCTGGCCGCGTCATACCAAAAGACGTTAAAAGATGGTACTTGTTGTTACCCTGTCTGGAGCTCGGCATTATTGGGCTAAAACAAGGACTGGTCGGCTCGGAGTCAGTATACTGTGTCTGAGTGGGGTATTCATGTTAAACTGCAGCATGGTATCTCAGTGTGCAAGCACTATAAATCGGCATCAGTCCGGACTAGTACAAGCAGCCACACAAACAAACACACGTACATGCACGTCGCTATATAAGTGCAATAATCTTGGACGCGACGTTAGACCCCATTTCACCTCACCTCACACTGTGGGTGTCTTGAGGATTTTATGAGCGCTTTCACTAATATTTTTTTACCTGGGTGAAGCGGGGGCAGTCGGTACCCAGCAAACAATTCTACGTTGTGACAACATCCCAGATTGGTTGCTACAACGTTGTGCCAAAACCAAAATACAACCAAATCAAGGAGTTGTCACAACGTCCATGTTTATCCCCCCGGCATATAATGCGGGGGAATATAGCGATCAGCCAGTCTGTCTGTCCGTCCGTCCGTAATCATTTCCTTTTCCGGGGCAGAACTCGAAAATAATTCAGTGTATTTGATCGAAACTTGGCATATCTATCAGTCACATACTGAAGTTGTGCCTTTTGCTATTTAGGAATTTTATAAATTTTTATTTTTTACGTTTCCAGTTGGACTTAGGTTCTATAAGGGTGGTGTTCGTTTCCGGAGCGTAACTCAAAAACCGTTAAATACTTTCTTACAAAACTTTGCATGTCTACCAGGCACATACTGAACTGGTGCCTTTTGCTATTTAGGAATATTATAAATCTTTATTTTTTGTTTCCATGGTAACAAGTTGGACTTAGGGTTCTATAAGGGTGGTGTTTGTTTCCGGGGCGTAACTCAAAAACCGTTAAATGCTTTCTTACAAAACTTTGCATGTCTACCAGGCACATACTGAACTGGTGCCTTTTGCTAATTAGGAATTTTAATTTTTTAATTTTTTACGTTTCCATGGCAACAAGTTGGATTTAAGTTTTCATATAGGGTGGGTTCACTTATGGAGTATAACAAATAACCTGTTAAATATTTCCTTGCCAAACATTGCATGTCCTTATATAAAGTACATACTGAACAGGTGCCATTTGATATTAAGGAGTTTTAGAAATGTTTATTTTAGAATTTCCATTGCAGCTATTTTGACATGGGCTAAGAGAAATGTTGGGTCAGTTACCTGGTTTTGGACCATAACGTGTTAAAATGGGTGGGGGAAATAGATGACTTCGTTGACTATAGGCTTGTTTCTTGTAATTTGTCATTTGTTTGCATAAAAAAACCCCACAGAAACACACGTTTTTCTTTCCATTTCATATGGATGCGACCATGGTGGATCTTTTGTTGGTAAACAATGTATGCTTCTTTAGGAACTTTCAACTCTTGACCTATTACATACAGAATTGCACATTTACTTGTGGTTACTTAACAGACAGCTGCCGGGGGGATATGTCATCTTTCTGATGACTCTTGTTTACGTTGCTGCAACGTCTAACCAAAACGTCGCGACAACGTAGGTATTGCATACATATGGCGACACTACAGCCATTGCACAACGTTGTTGCAATTTCCATGTAGATTAACGCCTGTTTTATTCTCCAATACCTCCCAGGTAGCCTGAAACGTTTGTACCAATCTAGTGAAGACATCAGGTACCAAGCAATACATTCTGCAAATTGAATTCACTTTAACCCTATCCATGAAACAGCAAGTCAATGAAATGCACTCTCTTTTGGCAGAGTTTGAAATACGGCCAAGATAAAAATCTAAATGTTTTAAATTACATGTACAATTGGTTATATAATATTTATTTTCCCAAACAATTTTCAAAGCTATGTGCAAATTGTTCACAAATGTTTCAACACAATTAAAAGATATTTGATTTTCCCACAATTTTGCAAATTAAAAACCATCAAACAATAAGCCCTGCACAAATTGAAACATATAAATTTTCTTGGCCTTACCCCATACATTCAGCATTGAGAGCAACACTTCGACAAACAGAATATGCATCTGATGTCCCAAGATTCATTTCCCAGCAACGACAAATGACAGTAGAATTCTTTAGGTGACCTTTATTTATTTGTTAAATGACAAGTCAGAACTTGTGCTGAGTGGCTGAGGAGCCTTTTCAGTCACAGGGATGATCTTCAACTGTATCCATAGTCTCTCCTTATGCCTTGGTAACTGAATAAAAAATGACACAACTGTTATAAAATGGCAAGGCAAGGGACATATTTCTGACATAACAAAATAATAGTTGCATTCCCCAAAATAATATTTTGATGTCTGATGTCAGTCTTTAAACTGTTAAAAACTGCTGAAAGTGCGAAGAAGGCGCTGACAGTAATACCATGATGCTCATGGATCATACATGGGCAGAAAAGCTTTTTAGCACTGAATTGAACAAGGCAAAAGGTGAACACAGCTCATTAATACCCCAACCTCGACTCCATCATATTTCTAAGTTCAAAACATAAAAAGGCAATATTTTCTCAGAAAATACACTAATCGAAATCAAACTTTGCACTGCCCCTCTCCAATGGGTATCGAAACTGTATCCCCAATTGGAAAAGAATCTATGAAATACTGTTCAAGGTAAAGGTCGCACACATGTTGAGATAAAAAACAACATTTGAAGTTAAAAACGTAAATAATCATATTTTTTTCAGAAAATACACATATGAAAATCAAAATTGTGTAAAAAATGTGATGGATACAAAATCACATACTGGTTTGGGTACATAGATCACAAGAAATATTGTGGGTACAAAATTACTACATCCCATCTGTGGAAGACAACTTCAGTAATTAGACACGAGAGGCACACAAGTTATCTTATAACATTTAGAAAAACAATCTGTATCAGATCAAATTAACGTATATATACAACGAAAACATTCAAGAAGTAATGTTTTACTCAAAGATTTTATCATCGTGCTCATGTTTACAACGATATATTTAACAATATTTAACATCTCAATTTGATAACATAAGTAACTTCCTATGAACAACTTAAGTTTGCTTCACACATTTATGCTTAAAATAAGACAACAGAAGCGACAACTACATATTTCAACGAAGACATACCTTGCTACAAGATCATCATGGTTGCCCTCAACCGACTTTTTCCGCAACGAAAGGAATGCTTTCAACGATGTGACAGTCCACAAACGAAATTTCTCCAGACTCATATCGCTCAAATCTGCCATGGTGTACAAATACGTAGTCGGTAAAGCTCGTAAATACGTCCAGTAGCGGAGAAGATTATGATGCTGAATGACGCAGGGACAACATTGACATCTACATCATGAACATCATGGCGGTTGATGCCATTAGCAACACTCAACGCCCTGGCGTGTGAAAGATAATCAGTCCGCCTAACATTGTTCACGCACCGTCCTTATTTTGGTGGACCAGCTTATGGTTGATATTTAGCTGAGAATCCCGGCTTTGAAGCAGTAAAAAAACACAACTCTGCATTAATGGTGTGGGCTCTCTTCCACAGCATATTAGCCAGGCCCGAGTCCACATGCACGTTTACATGACACATATCAGAGGTGTAGACAAAGAACACTTGTACGTGATCTGAACTTCCATTTCGTGGAAGCCTCGATGGCTGGGTGGGTAAGGTAACTGACTTGAGGCGCTGAACTTCAGGTGCGAATCTCCGATGGGACTCCACCTAAAAGGTACTCGAAGTGGTACTTTTCTTAGATTGTGTAATCCCAAACGTTACTTATGTTACACACATTTATATGTTGTTTGTTTCGTTTGACAGTTGTTGGACAGGCTGAGAACTCCCGGAATACCGATCTGGTGGAGACAAGAAGGTCGGGGCAATGCATTTCTATACCAAATTGCAAACGGTCAG